GGGGGGGGGGGGTGGTGGTTAAAAAACTACTCACAGATAAAAGTTGTTGGTTTAAAATATTAACATCCATTTAGAGGGAGGACATAACAGCATATCTGATTGATTACTTTACCTTTGGGGACCAGAAACCTTATATTTGTGGACAGGAAGAGCATTAATCTCTTCCTCGGTCATAGAAGGTGCAGTAGAAACATTATCGGAATCCAAAGCTCTTAAAGTTTCATAATCTGAAATTGGGAAGAAAAATCTGTGTATCAACATATTATAAAAACACATCTGAAAGAGACTGGAGCACATAAGTTAACCACAGTAAAATTTATTTTCAGAAGGTTCTAAAAAATTCATTGGAAAAATAGGAATTTATATTACAAAAACTGAAAATAACTACAAACCAAGATCATCAAACTCCCGATCAAGAAGTGCAAGCTGAAGTCTGAGACCCTGCAGACGCCCTCGACTTGCAAGTGCTATTGATGGTGGCATATGCAACCTCAGTTCCGTGTGGCCAAGAATGCCACTGGCTGCTGCTGCATGAGCTTGGGCCTGTGCTTGGAGCTGTTGACATGTTGCATACATCCTCAACATTGTTGCCATCAAGAAAACGCCAAGCACCAGCCAGAGCTAAAAATAGAGATGAGAACTTATAAACCACTTTAATAAATTAAATGTCATTTTTTTTCCATGAAAAAACTTACATGACTACTTTACATACTACAAGACCTTACCAGAAAGTTAGGGGACATCTGGTGAGAGTTCAGTATCATGAATAACAGAAGAACTGAAACATATAAGCAGTAAGGTGTAAATGGGACATTGAAAGCAATATAAGGGGAAGAAAAAACATATTCACAAAAGTGATAAAAGACAACATAATATGAGAAATGAATACCTGTCACAAGAAAAGTGAGTGAATTAGAATTACTAGGACGTGCTGCATGAACGCGCTGAATAAAATATTGGAATCAGTATGAAATTTTAGTTGATGTTACTAAATAAACACAGGATGATGCTTTTATTAATAGAACAAGAAAAAACAGGAACAATATATCATTGAAAATGTCAGCTCTGTCAAAACATATATGCAAATGCAGGTAATTGGTACAAAAAGTACATACCAATGCTCGCCTCTCAGGTATAAATCCTGGAAACCCATTTTCAATATCTGCTCTTGTTCCTCGAAAAACAAAACTCATGGTTCTATATATATTGGAAAACCCGAATTAAAACTTCACAGGTTGACTAGAGACTTGACCAAAATCAACAATTAAAACCTTTCAATATTCTGAAATATCAATAAAATAATAGTCAGTAGACAATAAATCAATAACAGTTAAATGCTTGTGTATGAAGTTCAATATGATACACCAAGGGGAAAATGAAAAATTTCCAAGAATACAATAAAATTATATTAAGAGAATACCCAACAAACCAGAAGAGAGAGAAAGAAAGAAAGACAATATCCATCATACCACATTCTAAGCTAACTAGGATCATCCCCAAAATCAGCCAATACTGTAAAATATTATCACTCCTCGGGAATCTTCATCATAAAAATATCACTACCACAAAGGAATAATAAAAGGTTAAATTTGAGTTTACCTTAACGATAAATAACAAGCTAAAACACAATAAATCAAATTTAAAAGTAATCCATGAACATTTCAAATTGTTTCTCTAATAACAAAGAACATGATCCCTAAAATATATTTCAGTTATTCTGTTTATTCAGAGCAAGGAGCATCCGTGAAAATTTATGGATCCCAATCCCAAATGTTTGGTATGACAGCTAGAAAAATAAATTTGTCCCTTCTCTAGAGTTTAGACTCAAGTTTCTTTCATTGACAAAAAGGCATCCATCCAGCCATGTCTATAACAACTACCATGCCATCCCCCAGCTCCCATAAAAAATCACATCAATTGACAGAATCAAACACTTGGCTGCCACTACTGGCCATATATCCATTTTCCGGAGGAACACATCAAACAACAGATAACTTGGTGCCAAACCACTTCAAGCATTACAGACAAATACACAATTTGATACAATACAATGTATTCTTCCGTCACCTAACCAAAAACAATTTGCAAGATTCAATGGAGACACACAAATCAAGGCATTCACGTCGACCAAAATGACACCACAACCATTCACTACGCGATTATCACATAACGGCACCAACCAGGGGCAGATCCTCCAGAAAGTTAAACAAAAACCCTAGCAGGCCTAGCTCAATATCGAGATCGCGTATCGAAGCGAATAGCAAGAATAAAGAAACGCTTAATACATTAATGAGAATAAGAATAAGAAGATTGGCTCAACATTTTGAATTTGCGATGATGAAATCGAAATGGAATCGTACCGAAAATTGACGAGGAACAACAGCTGAATCTGATTGAGGCTGTGATCGGAAACGGCGATTGGGTTTTCGATCACAAAACAGAGGCGGGGTTGGATCTTTTACCTCTCGATTCGATTCGAGGCCGAAGATCACGAGAATCGGTGATATAGTTTTTCTTTTTCTTTTTCTTTTTTCTTTTTTCTTTTTAGATTTTCGTTAAACAAAACGAAGGTCAAGCCTCTCTGTGTGGTGAGCGGTAATCCTCACCTATATACCTCCCTTCTGCAGTACTTTTGCAAATTAGAGCGATAAAAACACAAGGTAAAAATATTACCAGATAAAATAAGTAACTCTTTCCTCAATCATTTTACTTTTCAATCATTTTTCTCTATGTCTATATTAAATTCAATAATATTTTTTAAAATTCTCATTATTTAGACTCATTGGGCTCATGTTTTTTCTAGTCTAAATTAAATTGGGAGACATTATTTTTTTAATAATCTTATATGAAATTTCAAAAGAAAGAAAAAAAAATAACATTGAATTAAATAATCCACATACCTCTGAGCCTAAAGTTTTTTGGCCCATTTGCTTGTCCACCCATATCAAATTAGCCTACTCTTTTTTAGGTTCAAAAATAAAGATTAGTATTTTTGACACCTCTACACTTACTATTTAAAGTCCAATTATAAAAACATTTTTTTGTATGTATGTTTAAGATATATATTAGATAGTAATTAAAAATAAATTACTTTAAGAAAAAAAATACTGAATTGGATTTTCATTCCACCAATATTTTTTTCCATTCATATAATAAAAAATCTAACTTTTTGTCAACTTATTTTTATTCACAATATCACATACTTTAAAAAAATACAACTTTGAATGAACAGTAAAAATTCAAACCATGTGACATAATCTTTTAAAAAAAAAGTTACTAACATTTTTTTCTTAACGTTCTCTTTCAAACGCATTTTTATTATTGACTAAATTTATTAGAAATTATGAATTTCACATTTTATTTAATAAATTTTTCTGATTTAGTAGTAAGATTTATTAAAATTTATGATAAAAATATTAAAAATATATTAGAAAGAGTCTCCTAAATAAAGTGAATTACTTAAAAATAACTTTTTATTTAATTCAAGAAACTTATCTTATAAAATGGATTGCAATAACAAAACCAGCAACAAGACAAAACCAGTTAACAATCCTAATCGCGCAAAATCGCATCTTCACCCAAAACAGAACAAAAGAGGAGTGTAGACGCATCATGAAAGAAACATGTTCATACTCTAAAATTAAATAAACTCTCAAGTTAACCAACGCAAATCCGCATAAGAATCCCTTATTTTATTATGCAGTAAAATAGAATACTGTATAAAATTGTGTTTCAATTTGGCAAGCAATGATGCCTCAACTTAACTTAAAAGCTGTTCATTTTAGTTGTCTGTCTCCTTCAGTAACACTATTATCCACTTACCTACCTCTACAGATTGGCCAAAATGAGAACCTCAAAAAAAACAAAAGTGCAATAAATTGTAAAACAGTTTGTACAATATATATTTCTTTTATGTGTAACTTCATTTATTACATCTATAAATAAGAAGAAAAAAAATTGTAAATATTTTACTCATTAATAAAATATCATCATCCTGTGACATGTCACCAATTTTTCCTGAGTTATGGAGGGATTGAAAGATGGAGGCAGAAGCAGAATGGTAGGGCACAGCAACTAAGCAGCTAAGCCAAGTGTTTGAGTAGCAAGTTCACACCTGGTGTCAGCAAATCCAACTCTGGAGTTGACCAAGTCAAACTCCATCCACACGTTCCGCTGATGATGGTGTCCAATCACATACGCCTCAGTCCCCAACAAATCCGAATTCCCAAAAGTCAAACAGGACACATCACTCCCCTCCGCCACCCTATACAACAACCTCTCGCCGGAGACAACCAACTCCGCCCCCTCAAACACCAGCGTCACCGCCGGCACCGCCGCCACCCCACCCCCCTTCACCCTGAAGCACAAGTCCATCGCCCCCTCAAACACCAGCGTCACCGCCGGCACCGCCGCCACCCCACCCCCCTTCACCCTGAAGCACAAGTCCATCGCCCCCTCAAACACGTAATTCGGATCCTCCAAAACCCTCAACACCCCTTTAGTCTGCTCCACAAACTCGCTCCGCAGAGCCTTGTACACCGACCCCAGAAGGAAACTGAACTGCGACCCCGAATCCACCATCGTCTGACCCGCCCCGGTGTGGTCCGGTGAAAAAATCGACTTCGCCACATTCAAGTTTTTTGACCCGACCCGAATACCCAACAACCGAACCGTGTACGCCACCCGGTCGTAATAGGGCAAGGGAGTGTTCATTTTCACTAAAGGCGTGTACTTTAAGGGTCCCAGCCACGAGAACTTCGCGTCGCCGAAGAGTAACACGCCGGAGGTGTCTTTGCCGGAGATGCAGTAGGAGAATTTCGGAAACCCCATTTGGGTCACGAACGAGAGTGAACCTCGGTTCATGCCCATTAACCCGGTTGTTTTGGAATCCTCGTCGGCGTTGGAGGTGAACCCGGAGGAGTCCATGCACCCGAATGTTGTTCCGGGTTGACCCGACCCGGATACGGCGAACGTCTCCGCCGCGAGGTTGCCTTCCAGGGAGGTCATGTCGGCGTAAGAGACAGTGACGTGGCAGAGTTTTCTCGGGTCGCAGGAGACGGGTATGGGGAAGTCTCGGGTTCGGGTGGTGCAGATGGGTGAGGTGCATGGTGTTGGGGTGTACGAGGAAGAGAGGAGTGGGTTGAAGATTGTGTTTTTTGTGTTTGTGTTTGTGTTTGGTTTTTTGCAGTGGAGCCACGAGAGTTCGCTGCCTGTGTCGAGGACCATGGTAACGCTCTGTGGAGGCGTGCCTACGGTTAGTGAAACGGTTAATGTCACGTTATGGCGGAATAAGAGCTTACGTGGGGAGGCAAATTGTGAAACTAGGCCATGTGGGAGTGTTTGGGTTTTAAGAGGCAACATGAGAACGGTTTGAGTTGGGGGTGAAGAGGAGAGAGAAGAAGAAGAAGAAGAAGAAGAACTTGTTTGGATTTGGAGGAAAATGGTGAAAAGGGTCATTGTAAGAGGAGAAAGAAGATGAAGGAAGAGGAAGGAGGCCATAGTTTGGTTTGGTTTGGTTTGGTTGTTTAGTTTGAATTTCAATGGTGAGGGAGAGGGTGAAGGGGGTGAGTGTCTTTGTTATTGGATTGTCCTTTGAGCAGAAAGTAACTGTGTGGTGGGAAAGTGTTTTGAGGTACATCCATTCATCAAATTCTTATATATATATAGCTGAATTGAACTTGAATCATGTCATGACATTAACATATTGACATGCAGGGAATGTGTACAATTTTGTTTGTTGGCCATCTACAAAATGTGTGGACTATATGACTACCTTTACAGTGATGTTTGGTTTTCATATAGTACAGTACTTATTTGACTGCCTCACTGTTATATTATTATTGTTTTAATCAAGGGTATTTCTTAGCTTTGAGTCAGAAACAATAGCTTTTTAAAGAGAGAACATTTTTAATGGATATCATCATGAAAACAGAAAATCTGACTACATGGTTAAGAAGGGTAGTTATCTGGTAAGTATATTACACATAATATTGGTTACTGTTATATTGTTTCCATTCATGCCCATGGTATTACTTCGTAAAGTACAGTGCATATACTTGTATTAAAGTACTATAATTGGGCGGAAAGTGTATTTTATGGTCATAACCTAGTCATATATAGCACTGATGTTCGTTGATTAATTTGAAAGGTGAGCTAGAGAAAAAAAATGGAGGGGAAGTTGGATGCTACCAATGCTTTTTTTCTTTAGGAAAAAGGTCTCACCCTAGAAGCGATAACCGTAGACATAAAGTGCAGAGGCTTATGAAAACCTGGAGAAAAAGGGTTCAGCTTTGGAGATATTGAACTGGCATGTTTATTATTTCTTGACTCTTCATCAAAAATTAGTGTGTGTGCTTGTGTGACACCTACTGACCTAAGTCTATTAATTAAATACTACTTAGGCTAATCTTAGGCATGGTGATTTTTGTGAGAGAGCTAGAAGCTAAGCTGACTCACATATATTATTATATTATTTTACTGTTTCAAGTCAATTCAATGCAATATGAAATGGTCCACTTAATTTGAACTGTCTTTGATTGATTAGGAAATAGTGCCTTGCTTGCATTAGTGGTTGGTAATAATTAATTGATACTAGCAATTGTGTATGTATTCAGTAAGATTTGGTTATACAGTTGTTTCCAGTAATAAACCATTAAGTTGATTGGTTCGAGAAAAACATTAAGTTAAATTTTTGCTTACTAGTCTTTTCATGCGAGGTTGAGTTTTTTTTTTTTATAACTAAACTGACCTGATTAGTTATAAATTTAATGACGACACCGACTTTTCCCTTTTAGTGTAGGATTATTGCAGCTATCAGTTTGGTAGCCAACTGATATATAGGATTATTCCGTGACCATTCGTTCCACTTTTTCTTCATTCTCAGTAAATGATATGCGAATGAGATTAGGAATTTAGGATATATAAAGTTGCGTGAATGGTTATAATTATTTCAAGTTCCATCAGTTCTAATAAATAAAAATACATATTAGGAATGTAGGATATTCCTAAGAAGTGTTGTAGAGTGATTTCTTTTTTCCAACATAATATATTTTATATATAAAATTAGAATTCAAAAATTAAGATACAAGTTATGATTGTGTCAATCAATATCAATAGTAGTTTAGAGTGGTAAGCACAAAATAAGTAAACAATTAATGTATATTTAACATAATTAGCATTATTATGTAAAATTACATTTTTTTTTATTTTGTTTCACTATTTCTTATTTTTTTTGTCATATAATTAAGTTTAAAAATAAATTAAACTTGTTACTTGTTATTGTTCAACTCGATTAGACTCTGTAAAAAAAAACTCAATTAGATAATAAATAAAAAATTGATGCAATTCAAATCAAAGTTTTATATGAAAAATGTTTTCAACTAAAACTTGTCTGAATATAAATTTAAAACCGTTTGATTCAACTCTTAAGCTTGTAAATCCAAGTTTCTGATTTTACAAAATGTCATTTATTTTAATATTTTTTGTGTGAAACGAAACGACAGTAAACAGGAGAGGACAAAGTCAGAGATCAAAATAGAGATTTTTAAAAATCAAACTAAATGGTAATATCAAATTATATTTATATCAAGTTAAACTTATTTTATCAATAAGCTAAAATTTTTACTTAATAAAATTTATTTAGTTCATAAGCCAAAAACATTGAGCCAATTAACAAGTCGGGTCTCAAATTGATATCAAAATTTTGGGCTCATTGTCAACCCTACATATAACTCTATAACTATAAATAAATACAAATTCTTATATCTATATGCATTGCATTTAATATAATTAAATATTTGATTATATAATCCGCTTTATTGTTTATAATTAATTCATTTTTATTTATTAAGTAACTATGTATATTTTTATAATAGGATTATAAAACAAACTTATAAAAATGATATGAAAAATATTTTAAATATATCACTTGTTCCACTCAACATTGTCGTGGTGTGACCAAACTACACCCCACTTAAAGTTAAAAATTCTTGTCCGTTTTACTCATCCAAGTTTCTTCCACCTTCCATAAGACTAAGATTAGGAAACATCCAAGCAATCAAACTTCAATTAGATCAACCCTCTTTTCTTTGAAAATTGCACATAATGACATACTGCTACTGTACGACGGAATCAAATTGATAGAAATCTCAAAGCTATCTAATTTGGTTTTTCTAACAACATGGCCCAAGGATTTTCTGTTCATATTCTAACATGACTATCTTTATGCCTCTTAATTAAAATAGTAGAGTTGGCGGTAATTTTTGTTTAAAGTTTTCAATTTAAGTATGTGTGACAAGTAGAATTTTTTACATATATTAGTCATGTATGTTCTTTACATGCAACAAGTTTCTCAAGAGTGAATCTCATACCCAAGATATAAATAATTTAACTAAGTCACCTAGTCGAGATCTAATTTTCTGTAATTTAGCATGCAAAAAAATCTAGATGTTCTTTGATGGTTACCACAAAACAAGAATTAAATGCTCAAGTAAATTAATTGGACAATGCATACATTAAGTAAGCACAATAACCATATCTTTTACTTCAAAGAGTTCGGGAAATACAGAGCATGACATTTTGAGAAGGAATGAAAATAATACACTACGCTAAAATATACTATTTTAAAACTACCCTAGAAAAGAAAAAAAGAATAACCGAGAAATCATACTCAATTGTCTTATGTACAGAAGTATAGACAACTATCCTTTCTTTTAATTATTAGTAAACTGAATATGTTAATTATTTTGGTCTCGTGTGTGTGTTTTCATTGGAGGAAAAGAGTTGTAATCCTACTTTTGAAATTTCTACAACTATTAATCAAACATATATCTATCTATATATATATATATATATAGGCATGATAAGTACTCATTTGTCTTTGGTCTTTTTTTATTAAATTTGCTTTAAAAAAATAAAAGTATATTTGGATAAGAATTTTAAATAGTGTTTTTTTTTTAAAGAATTTCAAATGTTTTTGTGTGAAATATTTTATTTGAATGAAAAATTTATAAAGATTTTAAAATTTAAACATTTGTAAAATTACTAAAAATAGTTAAATTTTAAATTCTCTCAAAAAAGAAAATTTAAAATTTTTCGTATATTTTTGTAAATTTCACTTATATATCTTTTCTTATCTCATCTAATTTATATATCTTTTGTATTTCTCTCTCTATCTCTCATATCTCTTATGTTTCTTTTTATCCTTCTCTCTTATACTTTATTTTCTCTCTCTCCGGTCTCTCCTCTCTTTCTCTCATTTGTTTTTTTCTCTCCATATTACTTTTCTTTCTTCTTTCTCTAATTTTTATTTCTTTTCTTTCTCCTATCTCTCTCCCAAATTTCTCTTTTTTCTTCATCTTTTCCTATTTTTATTTTTTATTTTCTCCTTTTTCTCTTTTTGATTTTTCTCCTATACCCCACATCTCTCTTTCAAAGTTGACACAAAAAAATATCAATAATTTTTTAAATTATTAAATATTTAAAATATTTTTTAAAATCATTAAATATTATCTAATATTAATTTTTAAAATTATTAAATATTTATTTTCATAAAATTTAATTTAAAATCTCAATATAT